ACCAACCTCCATCCCCACTTCCTACCTACACTCAACTTTACTAGCTTCATCCCTGCCTCCTTGACCTGTCCGTCTTTTCTCCACCTATCTGCTCCTCTATCCACCTTCTTTCATCGCCTCGCCCCCTCCTCTATTTATTTCAGAGCCCCCTTCTGAAGAAGGGTCCAGACCCGAAATGTCAGCTTTTCTGCTCCTCTGATGCTGCCTGGCCTGCTGTGTTCATTCAGCTCCACACCTTGTTAACTCTGACTGCGTATGTACTAGTGAGCATTTCAGCAGTTGGAGGAACTGCTGTATTAAAAAGAATGCTGTTAGCGTGAACCACAACTTTCTCATTGAGTTCAGTGGAAATTGAGTTCAGGTTTTCTGAAGAAGGATCCCGACCCGAAACGTCAGCTTTCTTGCTCCTCTGATGCTGCCTGGCCTGCTGTGTTCCTCCAGCTCCACACCTTATTATCTCAGACTCCAGAATCGGCAGTTCCTACTATCTCTGTGCAAGTTCTGGAGATTTGTAACTCCAATATCTCTTCCTGAACTTGCTGGCTGATTGTGCATTATTAATGCCAAGCATTTTTATTATTATCGGAAAATCTGGCCTTACAATTTGAGATTTTTCAGCCTTCCACAGCCTCCTCTAACCTCTTTCACTATTTATTTCCCAAGTTATTCCATATATTGATATCACGGCCTTCAATTACCCTCCAGAACCTAGTCCATTATTGACAGAATGTTCAAGCATTCATTAAATGTATCTTCCTGTGTAGGTAAGGGAGCATGAGGGAGACAAACTGTGCAGCTTCCTTCTCATCAATAAAATTACCAAATATCATTTAGTAGTTTGAAAGTTCCAAAGAATCAAATTTTATTCCCTACATTGCCCTTGGAAATTTCATTTTCTAACCATCCTTTCTATTCCAAATTATCTGATTTGCAGATTCTGGTTTATTTTATTTTCTAAGCATCTACCTCTTTTTAATCTCTTAAAACATATGTAGATGCCTTCAAACTGTTTATGTACTTTTTTAAACACTTAGCTTCCTTCCCTGGTAACCTATGTTGTAACCTGATTAACCCACTGATGGGAAGATTTCCAGCCAAATTCCTTTTTTTTCACTTTCAATTGTCATGGCCTTACATGATCTCCTCCAGAAACAGAGCCGTTACTGACAAGTACGAAGATTTAAACAACAAAAACAGAAATCACTGGAAAGACTCAGCAGGTCTGGAAGCACCTATGGAGAGAAATCAGAATTAACGTTTTGCATCAAGATGTTGGTCAGGGAACAGATGATGTGCTGAAGTGGCAGGTAACAGAAAGCTCGGGTTCTTTTTTGGAGACAGAACGTAGGTGTTCTGCAAAGCGGTCTCCCAGTCTACACTTTGTTTCCCCAATGTAGAGGAGACTACTCTGTGAGCAGCAAATGCAGTAGACAAGATTTATCTTTCATACCACCTGGACTCTCTGTATCACTGTACATTGCCCTCGAAACAGCTGCAATGGTGAAGGGACTGTTGCCCATCTCTGTTTGGAATGTGCCTTTGCAAAGAAGCTCTGGGGAGTGATGCAGTGGTTTATTTTGAGGTTCGTTCCGAACAGCTCCATGACACAGGACTCTCTGCTCTATGGGCTGTTCCCTGGGATGCACACTGAGACAAACATCAGCTGTGCCTGGAGGACCATCAGCTCAGTGAAAGATGCTTTTTAGTGTGCCTGAATCTTGTTGAACTTCAGTATAAAAAGTTGTACTTGACCAAGTGTTGCAGACGCAGTCCAAAGTCCCAGACTACGTGCTGAGGGACACAATAACACTTGGGGCAGCTGTCACCAAGTGCAGTGGGGAAAGGCCATTGTCTGAGACTTTTCTGTCAATGGTATCCCAAGTGTCTGTTAACTTATAGAACCCATTATAGTTCGTATCAGAATGTATATAGTTTCAGGTCATATTTAGTAAATGTCCCAATTTTGCATTTGGGTGGAAACCCAAGAGTGCAATGCTGAAAAGAAAAAAAATGATACTTCTATTGTATTAACAAGGTGTAGAGCTGGATGAACACAGCAGGCCAAGCAGCATCAGAGGAGCAGGAAAGCTGACGTTTCGGGCCTAGACCCTTCTTCAGAAAAATGAAGAAAATCCAGCAATTTCTGTTTTTGTATGAG